TTTTTTTTTTTTCCCCCCCCCTGGTCCCCCCCCCCCCCCCCCCCCCCCTTTTTTTTTTTACATGAACAGGTATTTTGTGGTACTCTTTAAACTGAAAAGAACATTAGTAACTCACTTCTTAAGTGCCAAGAAAAACAGAGTGTTAAGGGTAAGGATGGCAGATCTTGTAAACTTTGCTATTATAACAGCTAATGATGCACATTTGTTCATTTTTCGCAAACTGAACCGTCAAGGAACAGCTGCTCTTGTTTTCATTGCACACGGAGTGACTGGTATAAGCAACGTGATTTACTTATAGTGTGCTGCTTATTTCCGGCAGAATGGTGCAAAACTAATTCTTCTGTTGTTTAGACCTACGGTATGAATTCAATCTGCCATGATTGGAGGTTTTTATTGTGTCAGGAAAATTTAATATGTTGGCATCAGATTCTGCCACCCCTTCCACACCCACCCTCCAGAAGAGCTGAAAGTCATCTAGAAGCAATGCCATCAATAGGTTTTAAAATCTTTCAGCCTCTCCCACAAAGTACTCAGCAACCTACAGATTTGGGTCTGAGAACAGTCAGCCTTTGGAGATAAAAAGCTTGAGTGTTGTTCAGCATAAATGTGAACTATAGCACTGCCTAAGAGAAGTAAAAGTTCTGTCCTGACCTTGAATCCTACTCTCTCTGTCTGCCAGCACACATAGAATTGAAGTCTGGCTTAAATTAGTTGTACTAGAGCTAGAGATTTGAGATGTCTGGTGAGATTATGGATGCTTTGAAGTGTAGGTAGAGCATTTTGGCTCAGATTCATCTCATGTGATAGGTGGCTGTACTTTATCGCTTAGTCTTAACTTGGTTCACCAAAAATAGAACTCTTCATAAGTCTATAAATAAATATTTTAGCCATACCACAATGCCTTTAATGTTCTTAGTGTGTATTTTAATGCAGAGCTTCCACTGGATGGGAATTCTGCAGGACATTTCTAACAGGATGCTGACATACCAGACAGTTTGAATTTTAAAAATTTAAGTCTGTCAGGAATTTCTGATTTTTTTTTTTTTAAATTTTTTTTTTAAATCAGAATTAGCATTGAAACTTGGACCTTGACCAACACTCAGAGTTCAAATAGTGTTAAAATTTTTCTGTCTTGCTTTAACACACTTTGACTACTGTGATGCATAACAAGTAGCAAGTATCCTTTGGTATATTACTGTATTTCAGTCTCCAAGAGCTCTCAGTTGCTTTCAAGTAGGACTGATTCATCCAATAAAATGTTCAGCTGGATTATCTCTCACCACTCTCACCACCATTTCTTCATTTAAAAATAAAGGGTGGTGTTGTCTGTAAGTTAATAGTGTTTAAAACACTATGCTGTATAAAACATAGATAATGTTGTCAGAACAATGGAAGTTCAAAGATTTTCCTTTCTGTTTGTTTGTAGAAATAAACTTGCAGAGACTTTTCTTTTCTTTTTAGCCTTGCAATAAAAGAAATATTTCTGTAAGACACTTTCAATTTGTACCATAGCTTACATAATTATTATCTTGAATATGTTCAGGAACTTTGTAGTTTAATAACAATCCTGTTTGACTTGCTAGCATTATATTGTTTTGCAGTTGCTTACTGTTTTCTTCTTAATCCATATCTAAAATTTATTTGCAACATTTTTTCCTGAAATAGGTATCAGAACAATGACTATAAAAGAAATTCAGTTATAAATGTAAAACATAGTAGTACCATATGAGCATCATAGTAACTGCCTTCTTCAACTGGCACTTAAGATAACCCCTGTATAATTTACATCATCATCAAGAAGGCAAGGTAAAAAATGGAAATATGCACTACCACTATGTTCCATTACTGCAGTGTATTTAAATTAAGTGTAAATGATCAGGTATTTTTATAAAAATAAGTGTGGTAACAATATCAGAAAGATTATTACAAATTCTTTAAAATAGTTGTTCTTTATTCCCTGACATTTAAACACTTTCTCAAATTACAGTAAATTATTTTCAAATCCTTCAGGAATAACATTCTCCTCAGTCTTTTCTTTCTTCCTCTGACCCTCCCTCCCCATCTGTGTTTTTTTTGCTCACTTTCTTTGTCTTCGCTCTCAGGCAGTCTTTATTGAAAGATACCTACTTGTGCAGTGTAGAACACACAAAGAAGATGAAAAAATGTGAAGCACAGTAAACAACATAAGGCCATTTATTAAAGATAAACAAGGGCTATTATAAAGGGAGAGGTAGTAAGAGATCCTCCTAAAAAACTTATAGTTAAATATAAAAAGGATCTAGTAGAGAAGGATCAAGTCTGAAATTGAAAATTTATTATGCTATGAGAAAATTTAATAGATCTATAGATTATGAAGCCAGACGGGAATACTATTGTTATTTATTCTGAGCTCCTCCCTAACACGGGCCATGAGATTTACCTGAATTAATTCTTTATACCATTTTTTAAAAAGAAAACATACCTTGACATAACATTTCCAACTACACAAAACTCCCTGCACTTCTGGTAAGTCATTTCAAGAGCAGTTATGCACACTGCTAGAAAAATCAAGAATACAAAAGAAATAGAGCAGTGGTCCATATATCTTGGTCTTCCACACTGGTGATAGGATGCAGTCTCAAGAGAGCACAAACCTCTGAACTTCACTCCCTTGTCTTATCCTAGCATCTACTGGCATGGAATTGGGGGTGTTAGAAGACATGTCCCTGACTGCTTCTTCTTATATCTGTTAACAAACCTGCTGTTGATGAATTTGGTTTTTTTTTACTTACAACAAATCCCAAAAGCTATCTGCCTTCTGCTTAAAGTAGTTCTTTCTTTTTATTCATGTTTTAAACTGCTCTGCTATGGTTCTCTACTGGTTTTGATAAGCATGCTTTCAGTCTAATAATGCAGGACTTGGTACATACTGAGTTTTTCTTATCCTTATGGCAAATTTAAATTTTTCTTAACTCAGCT